TGCAACCACTCTTCCAAGCAAATGCACATCATGTCCTCTGCGTGCACCTCATCTCACACACCAGTCCCCAGTCACTTTATCAACGCAGGAACGAGCAAGGTGAACAGGAGCTGATAATGGCTTTGCTGTTGCTATGTAAAAAAGCAGGATTTATTGATACAGATACTTGTTCTGGAAATCTTGAAGTCTTTTAACTGTAGCCTTAATGAAATGCTGCTCTTCTAAACAGTGCCAAATTTGTTGTAGGACATGGAGATGAATCAAAGGACAGTGACCTACCTAAACAAGCAGTCTCGTTGGACATGGGTAAGTGAATATATATTTAAGGGGAAGAAGCTGGAAACTTCAAGTTGGTTTACAGCCAGCTTCACGGTGTTTCTGAAGAGCAACTAAGGGTGCTGAAGCCTGTGGTTCTGCCTGCCAGGAAAACACCCAGCCCAGTACCCTAAAGGAGTTCTAATTCACTTGGGTTCATCTTCTGCCACAAACCCAAGTCTTGGACCAGCTATACCAGCAACTGCAAATCTTAGAGCCCATCTAGGCCAAGCGCAAAGATTAGGCTAAGTCTCAACCGATCCCAGATCTGTTTGCTTTACTCAGTTAAAAGCCTGTGATACTTTTGCTGCAGGGCAGGTTCAGAAAATGTTACCAAACCTGTCGGCACTGCAGATGGCACTGAGTCACCGGTGCCACACCCGAAGGCGTTCGGTTAGCAGCAGGAGGGTGATGCACTCAAGGACATCTTTCAGTGACACACTGGATGCCACTCGCACTGCTTTGTGCTGACTGGACTCAGAGGCTGAACGCAAGACTTTGAGAAGAAAAGGAGAGAAGCTCTGAAAGCTTCCTTACCTAGGTATTTAAATACTTCCCTGCTTGTCCAGTTAATTCCAGAATGGGTATTTATCATCAAATCTAAGCACAATTCAGTCCTACATGACTAAGAATATATATGCTTTATATAGCATTTATAGATTTCAGCAATAAAACTTAATTGTTCTTAGAATCATAGAACAATTCAGGTTGGAAAAGACCCTTGGGATCATCGAGTCCAACCATTAACCCTACACTACAAGTTCATCCCTAAACCATATCACCCAACACCACATCTAAGCGACACTTAAACACATCCAGGGATGGTGACTCAACCACCTCCCTAGGCAGTCTATTCCAGTGTCTGAACAACTTTCCGTGAAAAATTTTTTCCTAATATCCAGTCTAAACTTGCCCTGTTGCAACTTGAAACCATTCCCCCTCGTTCTGTCCCTAATTACCTGTGAGAAGAGACCAGCACCAACCTCTCTACAATGTCCTTTCAAGTAATTGTAGAGCATGTTGAGGTCCCCCCTCAGCCTCCTCTTCTTGTTCTTCACTGCATGAAAGCCTGAAAAGGATGTCAGCAGCTGTACATACCACCTTAAGAACACCTTATTTTTTTCAGATATTGGAAGAGAGGATGGTAGATAAAGAAGGCTTTACTCCACTTTTCCAGCTCTGTCTTACCTTACTTAATCTCCCAGTTGTTATCTTAGATCTGCAACACCTTCTTTAAAATAGATGTTATACGGAAAAAAACCACAAACAACAAATACGGTATTAGAAAGAGCACTTCAGAGGAAGCGTAACCACATACGGTGGCACTTCTCAACCTGTGGTCTATCAACCATCCGAATGAAGCTGAGGAAACAGCAAAGCTTTAAGCACACATACATCCATGCAAGTAAACAAGAAAAGAAACCCACCCGTAAAATAAAAGTAAAAACCAAACACTCAGACTTAGTCTATTTTTCAGCTGAGAGTGTTTAAAAGGTATTATAGCAGCACTACACACATTAAGAGTTTTTTTAAAAAATGTAGAGACATGTAAGAACTGGGTCAAATTCAATCCTTACCTAAGAAGACAGATGCTAGCGCAGTCAGAGTTCAGTCACAGTCTAAATGGCTCCTATTCTTTGACTAAAAAAACCGTATCATTAAGAAAGACTGCAAACTTCTATATATTATCTGTGCACATGGAAATGGTGTCTCAGAAAAGATATGCAATTGCCTTTAGACTTACAAGTTGCTTCCCGGCATCCTATCTATCAAGTTGTGTCCTTCCCCCTCTTTCCATTACTCACAAAGTCTTAACTGATCTGTTCTAAAGCTCCCTTGACCTGCGTAGTGCATAGTGTGGTAGGAACGATCACCTCTGCATTATTTGAAAACAGCCCCTCCAACGCTCAGATGTTCCCTGCTGAAAGTCGCACAAAGTTGTGTTAGGAAAGTCAAGCCTCTCCTCGTTCAACCTCACACCCCACCGGCTGCCCAGGGCATCTTCACCTCATACTTAATGATTTCTCAGCTGGTAAAAGAAACAAGGAGGTTCTCCATGAGCCCTGCAGTTAATTTTTGCTTTGCCGCACTTCTCTGCCAATTCCGGCTGTATTGGCAGCTTATAGCTGTCTCAGCCCACGTACCACACTGGCTGTGCTGCAATAACAGCTCAATTGTCACAGGATAAATCTTCTTGTTTAAGCAAGTCCTAGTTGGAAGTTATTCTGCAGGCGAGCAAAAGCAGGGATGCTGTGGAGTCATACCCGGGAAGTCCTGGGAACCTTGGTTTTATGGGAGGCAAAATGGAACCTCCCAAGTTTACATGGAAGGTGACAAGAGACAGAAATCTGAAAAACCGGAGAGGCTTGAATCTCAAGACTTCTGCATTCACAGGCCCATAGGGTCCAAAGCCAACTGTGGGATAACCAGGGCCTGTGGCTCTTGCAGGAGCCAGACCTCTGGGCCCTTTTATGAAAGCTTGACACATTTATCTCCCTTTGGAAATCAAATCGGAAGTAAATTTAAAAGCCTTGCCAGGTTTTGAAGAGCACAGAGTACAGCACTGTGCTTTGTTTTTCTTTGCTTTTGTTTTCAGTTAAGTTTCTCTAATAGTACTCATGAAAAGACAAGATGTTATTCATTAGTATTACTGAGTAAGTTTTGAAAGCCTATGTGCCATTGAAAGTCTCCCCATCCTCTTTTCTTCTTCAATTCAAAGTGCAAACAACACTTAGAAAAGGTTTTACTAAGTCCCCAAACCTGCATGGACAGCAAGAGATGTGATGGGGTGATTGTTTCTGCAAGAGTTATTTTTACTGCCATTTCAACAAGTTTATCGTTGACACGTTACTAAATATACTCCTTATGATTTACTTCCCTAAACTCAGGAGAATGGATCCAGCTAGTTTCTTTAATACTAGTTTATTTATATTGAGGCAGCTCAGTGCAACACGTTAGATGAAAGACAGCTTTACTGAGGAGTTTAACATCTTCCCTTCTGAAAGGAGAAAGGCCCTATGTGCTTCCTCTACACTGCAGTGCAAAGTCCTGAGTCAACAAGCCACGTAAAGCATATGTGTAAATACCATCTCAAAGAAAGGCTGCTTTCTTCACTTTGTGCCTTGTGCCTGCCTTGTCCCCGCTCTGTCCTCCTTCCTGATCACCCACATTCACCCCAGGAACAGTCTGCATCCCACAGTGATAAAGGACAGCAGAAAATACTGAAATTCAACCTTCTCCTGTAAAATAAGCGTCATCATTAAATTCATGAGCTGTTTCCACCCTAATACTCTGGAGGAATGCTCCTGTATCTTTTGCTTTTTGAGTAAAACACACACCAGCTGTTCTGACTTTTATGAAAAATTTATATTGAGTACTTGATTTTCTAAGAAGTCTGAATTTCTCCTCCTTTGTCACTGACATCCAAATAAACAAACCAGCTCAAAGCCAAGCATCCTCAAAACCACAACCCAGGAGGAGTCATGCTGCAAAGCAAATCAAAAAGAAACCTGAATCTAGAGCTTCTGCTTTGAATGTCTTATTTAATCAGGCTCTGAAGGGTGAATTCAGCAGGGGAGGGCAGACTCTGTTGGTTTATTTAGTTACTTATTTTAAGTTTTAGTTTAGAGTCAAATACTCTCAGTTAACCAAAGGTATTTCAGCATGAGACATCAAATACCAGCAGCCTCCCTGAAATCTGTGTGACTGATCTTACATAATTAACACACTGAGCTACTTGCTTTGAACCAAGAAGTTTCAGGAGGATTTCACCAAGAGCACAAAGGGCTCCATGCCCACACTTCTTGGGGTGTGTTCATGTTAACATAGGCTCTTGTGCAATGCAGGGGAAGAAAAACATGCACACATAAAAACCAGCTGCAAGAAAACCGTGTTAATGTCATTTATCAGGTATTTCTGTTTCCACTGGCCTTCAGTTTTAACCTAAAATTTGTTTGTTGTTAGTTAAAATTGTACACTTCTACTACAGTAGTGATATAGAGGGCCAGAATTTGATCTTATATAAGCACAAATTCCCAACTGGGAGCATTTTGTATGCTGGGGTGCATCTTCTCCGCTGGTCACTGGAAAAGATGCCAAAGTAACACAGGTCTGTGTCACAGAGATAGAGGAGATACAACAGTATTAGCAAAAACCTAGCACTATAATTAGAAAATGAGAGGTGCGGCTCATTTAGGAAACTCTAGCACCTGGAAGACTGGAAAGAATGGACAGAGTGAGATCTCTTCTATGTAAGTCTGCATACACACAGGTATGCTGTTTTATGCAAACAATGTTCATCAGAAGCAAGTTTTGCTCTGTGAGTACTTACTCGTTAATTGGCAGTCTCACTTGTTATCCTGCTAACACAATTAACAGTAAGATAGTTTTCAAGTAGCCCTCCAGGCTATTTTGTTAGATGCATTACCGTCTGAAGCAGTAGGAGATCACCTCTCATTTTGGCTGAGGCTCCTGGATCTCAGTATTTTCTTCTTGACCCCCGGATCTGTTGCACTTTACTTATGCAAAAGTCCCCTGATTTCAGCAGAACCTTTCAAATACAAAGCTATTTATACATGCATGCGCTTGCAGAATAAAGGTAATGAGCAAACATAATTTTATTCCCTTTATTCTACTGTTTACCCGACATAAAAAACTTACTGGTCTTCTACAACATTACTTCATACCTTGTCTGTCTTTTTTTCTTGCTTTTCCAATACGGCCATGTTTTCTTTCAGAATTTTCACAATCTCAGCAGGATTTTTGTGTGATTTACTAAACAAAGGCATGGTTTGTCTTCACCTGGATTTCTTCTTTCAGGATAGAAGAGGACTGCCTTAAATCAAACAAGAAACAAAAATGGCTTTTTAGGTTTATACAAAAATGCATTAAAAACATACAGAGACATTATAAACATGAAAAGGTTATGCCTTGGGCACTATATTTTGTATCAGCTACTCAGTAGAGCAGTAGAAGTTCTCACGTACAGTTATTGTAAGTTCATTCAGGATTTGCAAACACCATTAGCACGCGCAAAGCAACTACTTGGCACCTGTGCAGGAGCTGGACACTGCCTAAGGCCCTTGACCTACAGGTCAGCGTTTCAGCAAGTCTATGCCTCTGTCCAAAGTTTTTTGCATGCTGCCTATCTGGCAAGCTCCATGAGATACCTGACAGAGGTTTCTGCCAAACCTTCCCAGTTCTGTGGTGATGCAGATAACTAACTGCAGGTGCCAGCATACCAAAAGCGACCTTTGTTTAGAGCTTCACAAGATAAGGTCCCAGCTTCTCTGCCATGGCTCCTTCTTCTTCAGCTGCTTTTCTTTTTCAGCCTAAAGCTACCTAAGAAAAAGCAATTTAAGCTGTCCCCTACATCTGACAGACCTCAAGAATCTGTAGGTCAGATCTAGCTTGTGTAAGACATTGCCTGAATTAGGTAATGAACAAAGGATCAGACCCAAATACGGACACAAATGCTTTCACGACATTTAAATGAAAGACTGAGCATTTTAATGAAAATGGTTTTGTTTAATTTGAAACATTCTTCTTCTGTTAGAAAGGCAAATACCACATCACTGTACTTACACGTAAAAGAAACCAAACAGCTTAGTTTCTGATCCTACACGGCATTAAGTTGGGAATTCCCAAGTGGCAGTACCACTTCCCAGGGAGAGCCCAGCACAGTTCTGGTACATATATCAGTTTGCACAATAATGAAGAGGTAAAAAAATAAACAAAGGCAAAAATAATCTCAAACTTCCATTTCTTTCTGCAGCAAAAGACGACCATCACCATCCCTCCCCGCATATATTTGCAGGATTACTTGTGAAAACAAACATATGCACAAACCACTTCAACCTCCTTATTCTTCTTCAACTTTTGCAATTAAAAAAAAAAAGCGCTTTATACAAGAGGTCTTAAAGGAGATAATTAAACAAGCACAATACACACAGTATAAAGAAGAAAAACGGAAGGGTGTAATGTTTTCCCAGTGGTCCCAAAGAACCCACTCCACTGATGCTTCAGTGTTACTACTGACACACTAGAGAGTCCATCAGCAATTATGACCCCATTTGCGCCACATATCCATATGTTACTAATCCCCAAATATCCTATGGAATTAATACCCGGATTAGATATACATTCTACTACAACTATAAATAGCAACCATATAAAAAGCTAAGTACAAAATTCAAAACATAGAGGACTACTTTAAAAAAAAAAATTAAAGAAATCTATACAGACTCTGACCTAACAACTTATTAAAAACATTTCAAAATATTTTAGCAGATTATCTTTCCAAAACAGTTTCTATGATACACAGGAAATATTTTTAAATGTCTTACTTAAACCAAAAGTTCCTTTACAATGTCCAGAGTAGGTGAATTTGTATATAGCTTTTCCTTTGTTGCTAGGTAGTTTTACAGGAATATTTTCATGTTCAGCATCTGAAAGCTCACCTCTTTTGGATTTCCATTTTCAAATGCCTCAGCATTCAGTTCCAAGTCATTTTTATTTCTGCAGTTTTGGCTATGTAACCTTCACTCCTTGGCTGAGCTCTCAGCTGTGGAGCCTTGCTCCCATGGAGCCCACAACTGCAAACTTTGGCAGCACCATCCGACCTGCACCAGCACAGAGTAACGCCTCAACCCATTCGGTCCCCATGTGTTGCCTGATCTAGTTGAGAGGCGTCCCTGCCCATGACAGGGAGGTTGGATTAAATGATCTCTAAGGTCCCTTCCAGCCTAGGCCATTCTATGATTCTATGAACCTGACAACTCATTTGGGCATGTTCAGCTACATACAAACACAGGAGAAGACTGGGATGCCAGTATTATACAATAAATTTGTTTAAATGCTGCTTGCAAGTGCCAAGCACCCCAGAATCTTGCACATGCCGCAGTTAGTAGATTAGGAATCCACAACACACTTCAAGAAGGATCCGACTCCGCATGTCTGTATTATCCATGAAGACATGGCATGAAGATGTGAAGATGCAAGGGAGAGAGTGTCTGAGAGCAGGACCATAACAGGCACATTGCATTTCAGAAAATAAGTATATTCATCCAAGCTGAAAGTTTATTCAGATTGCTAAAGTCAGCCTTTTACCTTCACCTCTTAAGAAGTCTCCACAGAAGGGAAAGCAAAGCGGGGGGTAATTTAATTCTAATTTTTAAATTGCAGTACTCATGAGCTGGAGGTTCTGAGATTTGAAAAAAAAATGAAGTTCACACTTCTAACTGAAATGCTGAGTACAAATAATAGACACATTTTCCTCCCAAAAAGTAATTTACCTACCTATCTACAGTGTAGTGTCTGTATTTAAATAGTCACTTGTTCTGCCATAAAACTCCAACAACCAGGCTGTATGGTTCCAGTCTCACCAGCAAATCACTACAGCACTGCTGGGTAATAAAATACCATTTCTTTTCACTTCATACCCTACCATTGTCCTAATAGCAACAGTAAAATCACCAACAATAGGGCAGAAAGGAACTTGAGACTGCTTGGTTCATCTCTCTGCTGAACAGAGCCAAGTCTCTGCTTCACTTTATTTATCAGTCTTACGTACAAAGCAAAGCATCTGTTGTACACAAGTAGAGAGAGAGAAAAGAGGAAAGAACCCAGATGTGCATTGAAGAATATTTTCATATTTCTTTTTCCAGACGCAGTTTTTAACCCATCAGCATCCGGCGAAAGATGATCCATCCCTTCAGAAAACACCTACTGGCAGTTGCAGGTTATGGTTCTTTTTGCTTCTCCACGCGTGGTTTCTTAGGGGCACACGCTGTTCACAGTTACAGGTAGGAGCAAATGGGGGTAAAACCACTTTGCTGAGATCTGGGAGCTGTACTCTTTGGTCTTATGGCTGGTTATTCCATAAGGCACACAGCAAAACAAGGACTTCTCTCTGGCTTTGCTCCTCATGACTGGATTTTCCAAAATCAAAGAAAGCATGAGCTCTTGCTAAAGCTTTAACACAGTTTAGCACTTCTGACCTGTCATTCTCCCTCTATCAGCTCTCTGTTCTCTAAACCTTATCTGGACTGGTAGAGGCACTAATTTGGTTTAAATTCCCTGTTCCTTTCACCACCTATTTTCAGTCACTTTTTTGGAACTTGTATTTTCCACACATCTAGTCCTCTGTAAAGGTTGCATGAAATTGGCCAGTAAATTCAAAAGCTAGCATGGGAAGAGAAGTAGGATGAGAAATGGACAGTGCAAACACAAAAGCTTCATTTTCTCAACAAAACAATCTAAAAATAACTGAAATACGAAGACGAGTGACAACTGAAAAGAGTGCAACACTGGCTTAACAGAAGTAGCTCATACTACAATCCCTTATGAATATACTTTTTAGACAGAAAAAATAGTAGAACCCATGAATCTAACAAGGAAATACACTAAACTGAATATAGTAGAAAATAAACTACTTGAAGGGAAATTATCATGTAAAGGGAGACTGATCATTGGAGAAGGGCAATTTGGGGATGAGATCATATTTAGAGAGGCACAGGAATGAAGAGTCTACTCAAAGTTTGTGGTGACTCAAAATAGGAGGGTATTATCAACACAGAAGAGGTCTGGAATACAATTACCTGAGAAACTGGACTGCCTCAGAGACTAAGATAATAAAAATGCGGAATGGCAGAAGAGACAGAGAGTTTGTAGATATCCCATCCCTGTAAGTGTTCAAGATGTCCTTGCCCATAGCAGGGGTTTGGAACTACATGACCTTTAAAGGTCCCTTCCAACTCAAACCATACTATGGTTCTATGAATATCTGCTTCAACATGAGGACTTTCCATGAGAAATGACAGACACCTGGTGACTACACCCATATTTTACAGCCAGGAGAAAGACAGACGCAAATCTGTGATGAATTAAGAAAGTAATTGCCAGTAGAAATACAAAGCATTCATGTCTCTGTACAAAGTCATGTTTTGACAAAGTGAAAGAATATGGATTGACAAATTAACCTGTCCCTCAGTGTAGCAAGAAAATTATAAGAGAATATTATTTTTGAAAAAAATAAGTATTTCTGGAAAATCGGAATAAATTTTACAGATTCTGTAAAATTATTACAAAGTCTTGAGGCAACTTCATACGGAACATTGTACATAATCCTGAACACCCACAGTCAAAAAAATCAACAGAGGTTAGAGCTGGTGCATAGAAGGACACTTGGCTGGTCAGAAAAATCAGAAGACCAGCATGTCTAGAAGGCTAAAAGTGCTCACCCTGGTAATCTTAGAATAAAAGTACAGGAAAGCCAAAGAAGTTCTTTCAGCTCAAATAATAATAACAACACTTTATTTACGCAGAAGCAAAAGGCTATAAACTGCCGATGAATAAACTTCAGCTGAAAATGTAAGTGTTTCCAACCACTGGAGCTTTCAGATTTTGAAATGACCTGCCCTACCAAGCACACCACAGAGCATCTGTTCATAAATTTTTGACACTGCTGTCCGGCAGCAAGAGTCAGGGCTGAATGAGCCCCTTTCTTTCCCACTTTCTAGGAAAACATTTTGCATCTAATGGTTATTCAACATCGTATGTTTTTATAACATCAGAAACACATTGTAAACAGTCCTGAATCCATAATGGAGGACCAGCCAACTTCTGGAACATTGAGTTGTGATGATTTTATTTCAGTGGTGCTGTTGTGAGGACCTTACGACACCGAGGAAAGAAACAGCTGTATCTCACTGGAACAATTCTCTTGGCCTCAGAGGTTCTTTCTCCTGGTCATCTCTTCATACTCAAGGATTGCCTTCCCTCAGAGGCCTCCAACTCCGCAAAAGTTTAACCAAGAAGAAAAACACACTTTCAAAA